TGGAACCTCAAATTTTGAACGTATCGCTTATCGAACTCTTTGAAAATAGAACCCTTTTTTCGAACCAACTTTGTCCCTATTATCGAACTCGCTCCTATTTTCGAACCGCCGGGTATTGGACCTGTCCGGCAACCTACTCTGTGGGCGTCCCCATGCAGGCACCGTGACCCAGTCTGGTTTTGTTGATGCTTGAGTGAACACTAACCTGCACTCTCATTCAAACATTTTACGATTATTTCATTGTGTTTAGTGCCTGTGGGACTGCGAAATAAGCTACAATGGGAGCAATGAAACTTGCTAGTGGTACCCCTGTGCTAAAGAAAGTGAAAAACACCATAGATGTGAAGAAGGAAATAATACAGAAGTGGAATGATGTCCAAATGTTTGTGGAGAAGTACCACCCTGAGCAAGCTGAAACAAGCCATCTTTGCAACAAGTTCAGTGAAAGAACCATATCCCATTTTAGGGAAATCTTAAAGAGGCACCAGAAACAGAGGACTGTGGACAGTTATTATGTGAGACGGGTCCAGTGACTCTCAAGCTGGTCCTAGTGGCATTAAAAGACAGAGAAAAGAAGTAACTGCAGAAAGGGTTTTGATACCTGAAGTCCTCATGGAGGGGGATTCTCCTTCCAAACACTAACTCTAACTCCCTCTCTCCTCCTCCCTATCTTCCAGATGCCATTTCCAATCTTCAATAAAGGTAAGTAAAATGTTATTTTATATATTTATTTAAATTTATTAATACATAATTGAACACTATATTTGTTGTGTGTATGTAAAACTATAATTAATCTCTATAAAATGTATTTTTTTTTTTTTGTGAATATTTTTGGGTTTCTGGAACGGATTAATTGTATTTCCATTATTTCTTATGGGAAATATTGCTTCGCTTTTCAGACTTTTCGAATTTAGAACTAACTCCTGGAACGGATTAAGTTCGATATTTGAGGTTCCACTGTACCTTGTACATGTACGTGTAGTAAATAAAAATATTATTATTATTATTATTATTATTATTATTATTATTATTATTATTATATTATTATTATTTTCTCAGTTTGTTGGGTTATCTTATTCAAACTTGGGCAATGTATGATGGAAAGATACTTCTTCACGTACACCAAAAATGAAAGAAATCAGACCATAAATAGCGGAGTTCACTTCTCAGCCATTAGCGGCCGCTTAGCGGTATATTTTTGTATGGTTGTTATGGTTATATTCTCATTTTTTTGGTCTCATCTGATAGAATGAAAGATATATTACAGAAATAGATATGATTTTGATTGCTTTTATGACTAAAAGTACAGGTCTCCCTCAACATTCACGTTTTCAACTTTCACGGGCTTCACACATTCACGAATTCCCAACCGCCAAATTTCCAGCCACCAAATTCCCAGCCGCCAAATCATATTTAAGTTTCCCGCCACCTGCGAGTCCCTACTACCCTCCCTCCGACCCCCGCAACTGGCAGCCAGCCCTCCCACCACTCAGTGTGGTGAGTGTTTTGTTTGTTCATTATTTGCTATTAAACTACAGTATAAATAATGTAAACCCATTCATGACTGCATATTGGAATGGCTATTCAGACAGGTATTAGACGGTGACATCATGTGTTTACTCTTGAACACTGCAAAGAATTAAACATTTCTGCTACAGCTAATAATAACAATAGTAATAATAATAATAATAATAATAATAATAATAATAATAATAATAAATATGATATAATTGAAGAAGGAAATTGTACAAAAATACGAGGGAGTGGTTGACACATCGTCAGTATGACTTTGTTTATGCTGGAGTGAACATTAGTCTCCCTGCTCTTCCAAACATTTCACAATAATTCATTGTGTTTGGTGCTTGTAGACTGAGTGTGACTGGAGCGGTAGAGGCAGTGATTGAGGCAATGGTATTTAATAACATACATGTTAATAATAATACATGTTATTAATAATATGTACTATTATTATTTATAACATATATGTTATTAAATACATACATGTTAATAATAATACATGTTATTAATAATAACATGTACTATTATTATTTATAACATATATGTTATTAAATACCACTGCCTCAACCGCTGAATTATTGTGAAATGTTTGGAAGAGCAGGGAGACTAATGTTCACTCCAGCATAAACAAAGTCACACTGACGATGTGTCAACCACTCCCTCGTATTTTTGTACAATTTCCTTCTTCAATTATATCATATTTATTATTATGATTATTATTATTATTACTATTGTTATTATTAGCAATAGCAGAAATGTTCGATTCTTTGCTGTGTTCAAGAGTAAACACATCATGTCACCGTCTAATACCTGTCCGAATAGCCATTCCAATATGCAGTCATGAATGGGTTTACATTATTTATTTTGTAGTTTAATAGCAAATAATGAACAAACAAAACACTCACCACACTGAGTGGTGGGAGGGCTGGCTGCCAGTTGTGGGGGTCGGAGGGAGGGTAGTAGGGACTCTCAGTGGTGGAGGCATTGGTGGAGGCATGTTATTAACATACGTGTTATTAAATAACATACGTTATTAAAGCATAGCATGTATATATTTAGTACAATTTACGACGTTTTCATGTATTTTATGATTATTCATGGTTCAACAAGTTAAGGAAGCAGTATTGTAATATATTTCCTTACAATATATTGGAGCACCAAACATTCACGGTTTTTCAACATTCGCGAGGCTCTTGATCCCCTAACCCTCGCGAATGTTTAGGGAGACCTGTACCTTGAAATTGCGCTCACAGTAGCAAAAATGTTCTATTCTTTAGTGAAGCTCAAGAGTAAACAAATGACGTCACCGTCTAATACCTGTCCACCTGCCAGTCTAAATTCCAGTACGGAGTCAAGAATGGATTGACATTATTTATACAATTATTACAATAATGCAGTAGTCTGCAAAACAGTAAATCTTCTATTTCTTTTTTGTGAATAAAAATTCCAAATGGTAAGCAAGAGTAATATAAAAGGGGCCTGTAGCCATGACTAATGAACAGAGAAAATGTTATTTTAGTGCCAGGAATGTCTGCATTGTTTATTCTGGACCCTATTTTGAAATTGGCATCTGTTGAAATTTGTGCGAAATCGGCCAAATTGCCAATTTCTGACCACTTTATTGGGTAGTTGAACTAAGTGAATGGGCGGTTTCTTGTACTCAGTTGACAGACTAGAAGTAAATAAGTTTATTCAGGTATACACAAATACAGTTACATAGATTATCTTACATAGCAGTGTACATGTATGTATAGAGAACCTGGGATAACCCAGAAAAGTCAGACAAGGTGACTTATTTCCAGTACCTGGCTTGGGTTTGCCATATATGATTTTTGGTAAATATTTTTTTTTCTCGGTTGTTTGTTGGGCTATCTCATTGAAACTTGGGCAATGTATTATGGAAAGATGCTTCTTAACGTACAACAAAAATAAAAAAGACGGACGATAAATAAGGGAGTTCACTTCTCAGCCATTAGCCGCCTCTTTGCAGTACGTATATTTTCGTATGGTTTTTATGGTTGTATTCTCATTTTTTGGACTCATTTGATAGAATGGAAGATATATTACAGAAATAGACATGATTTTGATTGCTTTCATAATGAAAAGTACCTTGAAATTGAGCTCAAAGTAGCAGAAATGTTTGATTTTTGCCAATGTTCAATGAACTGTGTAAGTCAAGTTGGTTAATTTTATTAAGTGTATTCTAACCTAACCACTCTGTAATTCGGCAAACTCAGTAATCCGGCACACTACAGGTCCCAATGATGCCGGATTTGTAATGGAGGACCTGTAGTAAGGTTCGACTTACGACCGGTTTGTCAGAACCGAACTCGGTAGTAAGTCGGATGATACCTGTATAAGTTCTGTTGTAATAAATCAGTTAATTTTCTTTTCTAATGATTAATAATTGGAGAAAATTTAAATCTGTTGTTGTGCTGCTTTGTAGGATGGCTCTGCAAAGTAATCGACTTTATTCCACAAGCACACTTGACCTACCACTTCAGTTGTGATCATCATCCTTGTATAAGGAAGCAGTACTCTACTATTTATATGTACTGTACCTTGTATATATACTGCATTATAATTAATAAAATTTGGGAAGAATTCAATGATGCATTAAACAAGTAATAAATCTCAATCCTTGGGAAGAGTATTAGGTGGGCTTCACAGAGTCGGGTGTCGTCACACGTCGGGTGTTGCTTTGTTGTGGGATGTGATGGTGAGGTGTAGTCTTGACCCTTTATATGCTTTCATTTGATGTATTGGTTTTTTATAGTTCCTTGATAATGTGAGAAGTCACAAAAGAGCTTGGAATTTCACTGTTCTTTCACAGTGGTTGTTTTGCATATTGTGATATCACCTGTTTACTGTGATCTTATTGCACACTGCATTTACATCTTGAAAATTATATAAAATACTGACAAGTTGATAAGACACATGTGCAACAGTTGGGTATCTTTATTGTTGATACTCAACTGTCTTACTCATCAACTAGTCAGTATTTTATACCATTATCAGCATACCTCTCGGACACAGACACATCAACAATAAAGCTACCCAGCTGTTGCACATGTGTCTTGCTCATCATCTGTACTTGCCTTGCACACTTCTCAACCACTTGTGAATGGTCACATTATTCCTGGGCCCTATCTTATCTATTCTTAAAACTGTGCATAGACTCTGCTTCCACCACTTCCTCTTCTAGATAGTTTCACTTACTAACCACCCTCAGACTGCAGAAGTACAGTAGTTTTTAACATTCTGGACTCATTTGTATGTTTAACTCCCATCTGAAGTTCTTGTTTCTACTTTCTTCTTTCAAACAGATTCTCTGTGTATCCTATTAAGTATTTGAGTATTCACATTTATCTCAGGTTTTGTTAAAAAGACTGTTGGCATTTGCATCATAATATATTTGATGAAATCCTGAAGCTTCTGATTTGTGTGAAATTTTGTAAGTAAACATTTTATTACATTTTCAGTTTTGAATCATCTGTAAATATTCAGATGGCATGGGACAGTGGCAGCACACCAGGCCGTTACTGGGGCCCAGGGAGTGTAGGAAACAGAGGAGTACTTGGCTCACCAGACAGTACTAGTCAAGCTTCTATCATATTAGCTCGTCTCAATGCACGAGCAAGGGCAATAAAAGCTGGAAAATCACCTTTAGCTAATAAGCTCCAGAGTGAGGCACAAAGAGAGGGGACAAATAATGAATCACTGGAGAAAGATAAGGTGACTTCATATAAGTCAATTAAAGAGCATGTTTCCACTAAGAGCTTTAGAGAGGAAGAAGATCAAGCTGAATCTAGTGTCAAGCCAGACATTACAAGTAAGAATGAGGTGGTTTCTGCCTGTGAAGAAATATCTAGTGAGGAACACAGCAAAAGGAAAAAACATAAAAGAAGTAAAGAAAATAAAAATATAGGTGAAGAGGATAAAATATTTGAAAATGATATAAGTACGTTTGTTAATGATGAAAACCCTACTAACAACATGGTGAGTGAGAGCCCAAAGAAGAAAAAAAAGTCCAGAAAAGTGAAAGATGATGATAGTAAGGAAATAGAACACACAAATTACCATGACACAATTAATGATACTGAGCAGGGAGTGGATGAGGATTTGGTGAGAAAGAAAAAAAGGAAAAAGAGAGTCAATGAGGTGGGTGAAAATGGCCAGATTGAGAAAGTAAATTGTTTGAGCAGCGAACACACTCAAGAAGATATAAAAAAGAAAAATGAAATATGTGATGTCATAAATGAGGAAGATCAGGTAGACAGGAGCATTAGTGTACAGGAAGCACAAAAAATGTTGGAAAATGAAAGTATTAGCAAATCACCCAAAAAAAAGAAAAAGAGAAAGAACAATGAAAGTGCAGAGGAATTCACTTTAGGCAAAGATAGCAATACAAATAAACTCGAGATTGAAGACACGTGTGAACTTGTGAATGAGGAAGATCAGGTAGACAGAGGCATTAGTGTACAGGAAGCTCAAAAAATGTTGGAAAATGAAAGTGAATCACCCAAAAAAAAGAAAAAGAGAAGAATTAATGAAAGTGTTGAGGAATTCACTTCAGACAAAGACAGCAGCACAAAAAAACTTGAGATTGAAGATATGTGTGACCTTGTGAATAAGAAAAAAAGAAAGAAGACTAAACAAGAGCCAGAAGATATTGAGAGTCACATTGAAGGTGAAGTTAGTAAATTGGGTGTGAATAGTGATGAGAGTAGAGAGGCTGTACATTCAGAAAATCGAAGGGAGAATGAAGCACTGCAAGTGGAAAAATCAACAGACTCAAAAATTTTAAAAAGTGAATTAGATGTATCAAATTTCAGTGAAAAATCTCCAGCTAGAAAAATGAAAGAGAAAAAAATGAAGAAAAAGCAAGTGAAAGCAGAAAAGCAAGGGATAGGTATGAAATGCAGAAAAATAAGGGGTTTCACCCTTTTGAAAAAGGCTGAAACTACTACAAAAAAAGAAGTAAGTAATGTTTTTTTTTAAGTGATGTTGTAGTTTGTAGATGTTTTAAACATAATAATGTAGCTACACATTAACTTTATTTTATATGAGCTGATTATCCATTTGAGTCAGATGTATACAGGTTAACAAGCTTGAAAATGGCTTATAGCTTTAATGCAGTTTATTTAGATTATGTTATTGAAGTGTGTTTCCATTGTGCCTCAGACACTTATTAGATGGCAGGTATATTTTAGATATTTGTACAGTACGTATTTACATTCAGTATACATGTACAGTATTTATCTTTCTTTTCTAGTGTTTCTTTTAACAAAGTAGTTCTTATTCCTACAATATTGGTTATGAGATTGTAGTAGACATTAAAAAGCAATTGAAATAGTAAGCCTTCAATTGAACGGACTTTGGAAATACAGGCGGTACCCACTTTACAGTGCTGTGCTTTACAGTGTTTCACTAATACAGCAGTTTTCAGTTATACCCATTTTTGGTCAGACTTCCTACAATAAATATATTCATCACTCACTATAAACTAAGAATGAAAATATTTTATTATTTTAAGGTAAGTAATGTGTGTATACTGTGTATGCAATTTTTAGGCCTAGCTCTATTACTTAACCCCTTCAGGGTCCAAGGCCCAAATCTGAAGTGGTGCCCCAGTGTCCAAGAATTTAAAAAAAAAAAAAATTTTTTTTTTTTCTTATGAAATGGTAGAGAATCTTTTTGTGAAGGTAATAAAATAAAAAGTTCGAAATTTGATGGAAAATTGACGAAATTATGCTCTCGCAGATTTTGATGTGTCAGCGATATTTACGAATTGGCGATTTTGCCGACTTTGACTCCCAATTTAGGCCAATTACATTATTCCAGTCAACCAAATTCTTAGCTATGTCACTAGTATTACTTCTATTCTATCGATTGAGCACAAGAAATCGCCAAGTCAACTGTTTCAACTACAAATTAAAGTGATCGGAAATTGTTAATTTGGCCAATTTAACACAAAGTTCAAAATATTCCAATTTCAAAATAGGGTCCAGAATAAACAACGTAGGTATTCCTGGAACTAAACTAACGTTTTCTCTGTTCATTAGTTACGTTTTGAGGCTTTACAAATAAATTCTGTTTTGATTTTTTATTCACATATTGAATTTTTATTCACACCAAAAAATAGAAGATTTACTGTTATGCAATACTGTAATAATTGTATAAATATCATCACCATATTTATGAATGCATATTAGACCCACCAGCTGGCGTGTATTAGACGTGTGAGGTCGTTTGTTTACTCTTGAATATCGGCAAAAATTTAACATTTCTGCTACTTTGAGCTTAGTTTCAAGCCATTTCCAGTGCGAAAACCAATCAAAATCATCTCTATTTCTGTAATATGTCTTCCATTCTATCAAATGAGACCAAGAAATCACAAATAGAACTATAAAAAACATACGAAAAAACACTGCAAAGTCGCTGTTTTAATCGAAAAATCATGATTTCAGTTTTTTTCTCTCATTATACACAGCGTGCTGCAGGATCTGTTTTATGTGGTGCACACATACCACATAGATGTATTCTCTCATATCTAGGCCCAAATGTACCACTCACAGTTTATCAGAGTGAGCTCAGCTCATGACGTAGATCTACGGTTTGGACCCTGAACGTAAAGCCGTAGATCTACGGGACGGACCCTCAAAGTGTTAAAATATGATAGTGTAAACATGTTATTAGGCTTTTATATGCATTTGAAAGTGAAAAAAAAGCTATGATTCACTTTACAGTAATTATTATTTTACAGCAGTAGCCCAGAACCTAACCTGCTGTATAAGTGGGGCCCTCCTGTACAGGATAAGGTCCACTGGGTCAATTGATTAAGAAACAATGGACAAAGTTTGTTATTTATGAATTGTCTATTATTGTTATGATCACAGCAAAGCATTCTCATCTCTATCCACCACAGTTTCCATTAATGGCCACCCACTCCCCCTATTTATTTATTTATTAATTTGAACATGATACATTGAAGTACAAGGAAATACAGTGGTTAACCCTTTGACTGTCACGGCCGTATATATACGTTTACGAGGTACCGTGTTTGACATATATATACTCATAAATTCTAGCGGCTTCAAATCAGGCAGGAGAAAGCTGGTAAGCCCACATGTGAGAGAATGGGTCTGTGTGGTCAGTGTGCACCATATAAAAAAAATCCTGGAGCACACAGTGCATAATGAGAAAAAAAAAACTCCGACCGTTTTTTTTTTTTAAATTAAAATGCCGACTTTGTGGTCTATTTTCGTTTAGTATTTGTGGTTGTATTCTCGTTTTCTTGGTCTCATTTGATAAAATGGAAACTATATTATAGAAATAGAGGTGATTTTGATTAATTTTACTATAAAAAGAACCTGGAAATGGAGCACAAAGTACGGGAAATGTTTGATTTTTGCCGATGTTCAAAAGTAAACAAATGATGTCATTGTCCAATAAATGTCCAAATAGCCATTCTAATATGCAGTCATGAATGGATTGATGTAATTTTTACAATTATTACAGTATTGCAGTAGTCTTCATAACAGTAAATCTTCTATTTTTTGTTTGAATAAAATTTCAAAATAAAAAACGAGTAATATCAGAGGGGCCTGGAGACATGACTGATGAACAAAGAAAATGTTATTTTAGAGCCAGGAATGTCTGCATTGTTCATTCTGGTCCTTATTTTGAAATTGTCATATTTTTTAATCTTCGTAAAATTGGCCAAATTGAAAATTTCTGACCATGTTATTGGGTAGTTGAAATCGGTAAATGGGCAGTTTCTTGTACTCAATCGATGGAAAAAATGGAGTTCTGAAGAAATAGCTATGAGTTTGGTTGACTGGAATAGTGGAACTAGCCGAAAATAGGGCTCAGAGTGGGCGAAATTGCCGATTTGTAAATATCGCCGAGGTCGCTAACTTCGCGAGAGCGTAATTCCGTCAATTTTCCATCAAATTTCGTTTTTTGGTGTCTTTACAATCGGGAAAAAATTCTCTATCATTTCATAAGAAAAAATAATTTTTTTTTTTTTTTGAAATTTGAAATTTTTTTTGAAATTTTGGGGGTTGCGACAGTCAAAGGGTTAAGTGTAACATGCCAAAGCCCCTTGTATGCAGAGCATTATGGGCAGGCTTAAAATTAACTTAAGATTAACTAAGCAATGATATATTCAGTGGTAAACATTGTTGTAAACAGTTAACAATTAAGCACAAATGAGTATTTCAAAGACAGGTCATATGGTCATTTACTGTGTTGCTGTACATTCAGTAGAATGGAGTATTCTGTTAGATAATGTAATTAAAAATAACAAAGTTTGATTGGGGTTCACAGATAAAACAGGTTAAGTAAATTTAGTTGGTTGGCAGGATTAAGTGAGGCTTTAAATATAGACTTAATTTACTAAACAATGAATCAGTGGTCTTTTTATATACAGTTAACAATTGCCAAATGATTTTCGCAGGTTATGGTCATTACTGTGTTGCTAGTATTCAGTAGAATGGAGACGTTAGAAATGTAATAAAATACAATGTTTGATGGTACAATTAACAGTTCATGTTTTTGGTTGTGGTTGAGTAAGGTTTAAGAGAGATTGAATTAAAGAAGTGTTTTTATATCACAGTAATGAATTCATGATTTTGGGCATTATAGTGCTTGAGTTTTTGCATGTGTGAGTATGTACAGTTTTGAATATCAGGGGGATCTGTGCTATGTGTTAGGATGTGTTATTAGGTTGGATGAGACGTTTGAGGGTATTTATATGGTTAGATGGTTTATTGTATGTTAGGACAATAATATTCATAGTTTGCGGTGAGTAGGTTTGAGTTGATATATGGGGCCAGTGGGGCTGATGTGGGAAATTTAGTTATATTCGACTGAGCCGTTTGATTTGGGGAAAATTTGGTCTGAATGGTTTTTGTTTTGAGTCCAATTCATAGGTGGATTCTAAGAGATTTTCCAGTGAGCTTTGTGATAGGTGACCGTTCTTCATATATAGGTTTAAGTGGGGGCAAATTGTTGATTGTTAATTGAATAATGTTGGTTTTATCAATGTTCAAGAGTAAGTTTGTATAGTCTATCCGTATACTTTGTTAAATCTAGTTTTACAATGATAGTAGGTTTTGTCAATGTTGAGAGTAAGTTTGTTAGTCCTCATCCAGGTAGATACTTTCTGTAATTCAGTATTAACAATATTGGCTAGCATGACTGGGCTCGGGTGAGAGAAGACGTATGTAGTGTCATCTGCAAATAGTGTGGGTTTGAGTAGTTGTGATGCATTTGGTTGGGCCAAGGACACTTCCCAAGGACACTTACTGTGTATGTACATGTATTGGGAAATAAAGAATCTCTGCTTAAAGTGTGTCTGAACTACCACTTGATCAGCTTATGCCATTGTCTGTTTTTCTGCTTTGGTGGACGTTACTACTTAAACTTTTCACTGTTGTGATCCCTGTAATTAAGATAAGATAAGATTTTGTTCAGATTTTTAACCCTTGAGGGTTAGCCACCCAGGATAACCCAAGAAAGTCAGTGCGTCATTAAGGACTGTCTAACTTATTTCCATTGGGGTCCTCAATCTTGTCCCCCAGGATGTGACCCACACCAGTCGACTAACACCCAGGTACCTACTTACTGCTAGGTGAACAGGACAACAGGTGTAAGGAAACGCGTCAAAATGTTTCCACCCACTGGGAATCGAATCCGGGCCCTCCGTGTGTGAAGCAGGAGCTTTAGCTACCAGGCCTCCAGGCCACCAGAACGTGCTGACTTGTGATTTTTCAAAAATAGTAATAACTATCTTCTGAAGTGGTTGAAAATCTTTTTCTGAAAGTAATGCCAACAAAATTGCAAAATATGAGGAAAATATGCAGTTGCGAAGTTGGCAGTTTAGTTTCAATTGATGCATCTGCAATTTTATCCATATTGAGGCCTATTTTAGGCCAATTCTATTGCTGTAACTGACTCTATTCTTGGCCATTTTGCAAGTATGCCATCCATTTCACTGATTGAGCACAAGAAACTGCCCATTTAATTACCAGAGCTATCCTATAAATTACTCAGTTTAGGAATTTGGCCAGTTTTACACAAAATTCAACAAATTCCAATTTAAAGAGTCCAAAATAAACACTAAAGGCATTCCAGCCACTACAGCAACCTTTCCTCTGTTCACTAATCACATACCCAAGACTCCTTTATAACACTTGCCCTGCACAGTTTCCATTACCAGCCACTTGCTCTCACTTATAAGTCTATTATATTAAGGGTTTATGTGCTGTACAGTAATTAGTTTTATGAGAATTTTTCTTTAAATTATTTAATAAAACTTAATTTGTTAAATTTAGTACAGTATACATACAGTACTATCTATTGGGATAGGAGACTGGGCCTCCTTTCCTTTGCATTAGTAGTGCTTAACTGTTTATATATATATATATATATATATATATATTTTTTTATTATCACACCGGCCGATTCCCACCAAGGCAGGGTGGCCCGAAAAAGAAAAACTTTCACCATCATTCACTCCAAACACTGTCTTGCCAGAAGGGTGCTTTACACTACAGTTTTTAAACTGCAACATTAACACCCCTCCTTCAGAGTGCAGGCACTGTACTTCCCCTCTCCAGGACTCAAGTCCGGCCTGCCGGTTTCCCTGAATCCCTTCATAAATGTTACTTTGCTCACACTCCAACAGCACGTCAAGTATTAAAAAACCATTTGTCTCCATTCACTCCTATCAAACACGCTCACGCATGCCTGCTGGAAGTCCAAGCCCCTCGCACACAAAACCTCCTTTACCCCCTCCCTCCAACCCTTCCTAGGCCGACCCCTACCCCGCCTTCCTTCCACTACAGACTGATACACTCTTGAAGTCATTCTGTTTCGCTCCATTCTCTCTACATGTCCGAACCACCTCAACAACCCTTCCTCAGCCCTCTGGACAACAGTTTTGGTAATCCCGCACCTCCTCCTAACTTCCAAACTACGAATTCTCTGCATTATATTCACACCACACATTGCCCTCAGACATGACATCTCCACTGCCTCCAGCCTTCTCCTCGCTGCAACATTCATCACCCACGCTTCACACCCATATAAGAGCGTTGGTAAAACTATACTCTCATACATTCCCCTCTTTGCCTCCAAGGACAAAGTTCTTTGTCTCCACAGACTCCTAAGTGCACCACTCACTCTTTTTCCCTCATCAATTCTATGATTCACCTCATCTTTCATATATATATATATATATATATATATATATATATATATATATATATATATTTATATATATATATATATATATATATATATATATTATATATATATATATATATAATATATATATATATATATATATATATATATATATATATATATATATATATATATATATATATATATACATACACATACACATACACATACACATACATACATACAGTGGACCCCCGGTTAACGAACTTTTTTCATTCCAGTAGTATGTTCAGGTGCCAGTACTGACCGATTTTTTCCCATAAGGAATATTGTGAAGTAGATTAGTCCATTTCAGACCCCCAAACATACACGTACAAACGCACTTACATAAATACACTTACATAATTGGTCGCATTTGGAGGTGATCGTTAAGCGGGGGTCCACTGTATAATATATATATTATATATATATATATATATATATATGAGGTGGTTCAGACATGTAGAGAGAATGGAGCGAAACAGAATGACTTCAAGAGTGTATCAGTCTGTAGTGGAAGGAAGGCGGGGTAGGGGTCGGCCTAGGAAAGGTTGGAGAGAGGGGGTAAAGGAGGTTTTGTGTGCGAGGGGCTTGGACTTCCAGCAGGTATGCATGAGCGTGTTTGATAGGAATGAATGGAGACAAATGGGTTTTTAATACTTGACGTGCTGTTGGATTTGTGAGCAAAGTAACATTTATGAAGGGGTTTCAGGGAAACCGGCAGGCCGGACTTGGTCCTGGAGATGGGAAGTACAGTGCCTCCCACTCTGAAGGAGGGGTGTTAATGTTGTAGTTTAAAAAACTGTAGTGTAAGCACCCTTCTGGCAAGACAGTGATGGAGTGAATGATGGTGAAAAGTTTTTCTTTTTCGGGCCACCTGCCTTGGTGGGAATCGGCCAGTGTGATAATAAAAAAAAATAATAATATATATATATATATATATATATATATATATATATATATATATATATATATTATATATATATATATTATATATACATGTATATATATATATATATATATATATATCACTCATTCACTCAAGTGAATGATGGTGAAGTTTTTCTTTTTCGGCACCCTGCCTTGGTGGGAATCGGCCAGTGTGATAATAAAAAAAATAATAAAATAAATATATATATATATATATTATATATATATATATAATTTTTTTTTTTTTTCAACAAGTCGGCCGTCTCCCACCGAGGCAGGGTGACCCAAAAAAGAAAGAAAATCCCCAAAAAGAAAATACTTTCATCATCATTCACCACTTTTACCACACTCACACATTATCACTGCTTTTGCAGAGGTGCTCAGAATACAACAGCTTAGAAGCATATACGTATAAAGATACACAACATATCCCTCCAAACTGCAATATCCCAAACCCCTCCTTTAAAGTGCAGGCAATTGTACTTCCCATTTCCAGGACTCAAGTCCGACTATATGAAAATAACGGTTTCCCTGAATCCCTTCACTAAATATTACCCTGCTCACACTCCTACAGATCGTCAGGTCCCAAGTATCATTCGTCTCCATTCACTCCTATCTAACACGCTCATGCACGCTTGCTGGAAGTCCAAGCCCCTCGCCCACAAAATTCTCTTTACCCCTCTTTCCAACCCTTTCGAGGACGACCCCTTACCCCGCCTCTTCCTTCCCCTATAGATTTATATGCTTTCCATGTCATTCTACTTCGATCCATTCTCTCTAAATGACCAAACCACTTCAACAACCCCTCTTCTGCCCTCCGACTAATGCTTTTATTAACTCCACACCTTCTCCTAATTTCCACACTCCGAATTTTCTGCATAATATTTACACCACACATTGCCCTTAGACAGGACATCTCCACTGCCTCCAACCGTCTCCTCGCTGCTGCATTTACCACCCAAGCTTCACATCCATATAAGAGTGTTGGTTACTACTATACTTTCATACATTCCCTTCTTTGCCTCCATAGATAACGTTTTTTGACTCCACATATACCTCACCGCACCACTCACCTGCCATGGTGGGAATCGGCCAGTGTGATGATAAAATAAAAAATATATATACATATATATATATATATATATATATATATATATATATATATATATATATATATATATATATATATATATAATATATATATTATATATATATATATATATATATATTTAGTTATTTCTTGCAATATTTTTTCATATGGTCTCTTTATTTCAACATATTTCTTCTGTATTTCCTGATTGTGTAACTACAAATCAGTTGCATCGAACACTACCACAGTGGTTGGCCCAGCCTACAGTTATCAGTAGAGATCTTCATGCTGATAGTACATCCATAACTTCTGTTCAAGGACTAAATGAATCACTTAAGAAAATTCTAGAAGAGCAGAAAATTGAAAAATTCTTCCCTGTACAAAATGCTGTTATTCCTGAAATTCTCGCCAGTGCTAGTTCTCTGTCCATGAGGTAAGTCGAGTTGGTGTGTGATAATTTTGTTTTGTTAACCATGGTCATTCACATTTCAGGGAGTAGTTGAAAGTGAAAAATATTTTATATTAACCTGGTCTTTATGGAACTGTTACAGCCCCTTATCTACTGCATCTGTATTCATTTTTTTTTTTTTGTCAAAAAAAAAAGAGTAAATATAACTTACAATAAATACATCAAACATTTCTTTTCCTATAAATAAAAACACCTCATCCTTTTAAGCAAACTTTTTTTTTTTACAATCAAGATTGTGAAAAGAAATGGTGACACTAAAATGTGAATGGGTGTTTTATATACATGTATATTCTTCCCTATTGTTCTTGGTGGTTTTTGTTTTATGTTTGATCATTGAAATATAGTCTTGCTTTTATGTATTGTACCTATCTACAAAAGTGGTGACCTAACAGAAGTCAGCAATTACAGGCCAATTTCAAACTTGCCTTTACTGTCTAAAATCTTTGAAAAAAAAAGTAATATATAAACAGATATATAACTTAATAACTAAATATAATATCCTTAAATCCATGTTAGTTTGACTTCAGGCTGGGACAAAATACCAATGATGCAGTAATAAAAATTCTCAGCTGTATATGTTCCTCTTTTGACAATAATGAATATCCAATGTAAACTCTTTATGACCCTCAAGAGTGCCTTTGATACAGTAGACCATGACATTCTGCTACTCAAATTAGAACATTATAGAATAAGAGGACATCTCTCTCATACATGAAATGTTACTTGAGCGACAGACATTAACCTGTGACCACTGATGAGTGTTGTTCAACAACCTGATTGATCAACATAGGAGCTCCACAAGGTAGTGTCTGGGCTATCTGCTATTTCTAATCTACATCAGTGGCCTTCCAGATGGTTTACAGGGACTTAAACTAATTCTATTTGCTAAGGACACACTTTTGTCATTTCAAATCTTGATCTGGCTGCACTCAGCAACACAGTAAATGTCAGATTTGCTAAAAATGTCTACTCTTATCACTAACAAATTGATAAGACATATATAATGTTTGGAAACAAAGCAAGAGGTGTTCATTTGAACATAAAGATAAACATAAATTCAAATCACAGATCTAGAATATTTCTAAAAATAATTCCCAAACAGTGGGAATTCTCTCAAAAATACACTATTATGTTCCCCAAATATCCCTGCTTTATACTACTCTAATCTATACATCACCTATGGTATCTGTGCATGGGGAGCAACAACAGCTAATGTTATTACTTGGAAAAAAATCAGCTCCCAGAATAATCACTCATTCTGGCTTGATGGAGCACCCAGCAACCTTATTCAAAAGTTTAAATTTGCTTAACCCTTTCAGGGTAGAGAGGCCCTCTCCTAAACTTGTTCTCAGAGTCGAAAATTTTTCGGAAAAAAAAATTATTTTTTCTTATGAAATGATAGAGAATCTTTCCCTATCATAATGACACCAAAAGTATGAAATTTGATGGAAAACTTACGGAATTATGCTCTCGTGAAGTTGGCGGTCTTGATGATGTTTATGTATTGGCGGTTTCGCCCACTTTGAGCCCTATTTTCGGCCAATTCCAGTGTACTAGGTGACAAAAATATTAACTATTTCGCTAGAACTCCATTTTTCTATCGAATGAGTACAAGAAACCACCCACTTACCGATTTCAACTATCCAATAAAGTGGTCAGAATTTGGAAATTTTGCCAATTTCACACAAATTTCAAAAGATGCCAATTTCCAAATAGCATCCAGAATAAACAAGACAGACATTCCTGTCACTAAAATAACATTATCTCTGTTCGTTAGTCACGTCCCCAGGCCCCTCTTACATCTCTCTTGCTTTCCACTTTGGATTTTTATTCTGACAAAAAATAGAAGATGTACTGTTATGCAGACTACTGCATTAGTGTAGAAATGGTATAAATAATATCAGCACGCTTGTGAAAGAATATTAGACTCGCCATTTGACGTGTATTGGATGTGTAGCTTGATTTGTTTACTCTTGAACATCAGCAAAAATCGATCATTTTCGCTACTTTGAGCTCAATTTCAAGGTTACTTGTCATCGTGAAACCAATCAAAATCATTTCTATTTCTGTACTATATCTTCCATTCTATCAAATGAGACCATGGAAACAAGAATACAACAATAAATACTATACAAAAACACACTAGAAAGTAGCTGTTTTAAACCAAAAACATGGTCGGAGTTTTTTTTCTCATTATGCACAGCGTGCTTAAGGATTTTTTTTTTATACTGCGCACACTGACCACACAGACCCATTCTTTCATATGTAGACCTGCCAGCTTTCTTCCACCAGATTTGAAGGTGCTAGAATTTAGGCATACAAGTACATGACCGACCCTGGCTGCAATGACGTACTTGTACGTGACTGACCCTCAAAGGGTTAATGTACAAAATATTCACACTTTTACCGAGTGCAGTGTCTGCATGACACTCATTTCAAACATTAACCAGAACACATGGGCACAAAGAAGCAACAGGTATCTCTTTGACATTCCACATGTACAACTTAACATGTTCAAAAAAAATTCCATGCAGATAAAAGGCCCAAAAAGTTGGAACTTTCTGCATGAAAATGCCAAAAGTTCCCTATTTGCCAACATCTTTACTAATACGTATTTTATAAAGCTCTTATTAAATTTCACATAAATAATATATTCATTAGCTGTCTGTCAATTCTCATGCTTGGATTTTACCACCTCAATTCAATCACTCCATCAAATGTAGGTCATTGAATCAATGTAATTTATTTGTTGTTGACCAATTCTTTATTTGCATCCTGGCTCATTGTGCTTATGAGCCTGGTCCATGGCTGGGCTCCAGGAGTAAAAAGACTCGTGAAACTCATCAAAGGTATTATTACAACCCAGGAATCCAAAGGCCTGTTATCCTGGGTGTAAAGGGAGCAAAATAATCACAGCAGAAAAACTTTTGACTTATACTATCCTTCACCAAGTAAGAACAGAAGTATGTACACTATATACACTATGTACAGCAATAGGTATTAGTGCACTCCACGGTAAGCAAGGCAAAATAGAAGCCCATAGAGAGCAGACCGTGCTTCAACCAGCTCTAGAATGGGAATGATAAGGGCAGACAGGTGTGTGGTACCCACAACACCTCTGTGATTGTCAAAGCCATCTTCTCATTGGCTAGAACCTGGGCACTGATTGAATGATGGGGCCCCATCATCAACCCTTAGCACCTGGTTTGCTGGTTGGCGGAGGTAGCATTTCAATGAGGGTGTGTACATGCGCCGAATAAAGGTTACGTACTCTTTGCATGCCACAGGTATAAAAGTGTATCAAAGGTCATGAGTGTAATAAATTACCCAAGCTGCACTGACTTGAAATTATTTACTAGGTCTAGGCAGAATTAGTATGTATATGCCTTATTTGTTTGGCCGAAATGCATTTTTATAATTAATAGTGCTGTATAGTCCTTGTGGCTTAGCGCTTCTTTTTTGATTATAATAATAATATAATTAATGGCTTTCTTCTGAATCTTATTGCTTTAAATTGTGTACCTGTTATAATAAGAGCAAATTCAAAATAATAAATTTGAATGTATAACTACAGTATGGATCATAAAAAAAAAAGTGCTAATACTATACAGTTGTACCTCGGGATACAAACAGCTCCAAATGCGAACAATTATGTAAGTGTATTTATGTAAGTATGTAATTTTGTAAGTGTATTTTTGGGGGTCTGAAACGGATTAATCTAATTTATATTATTCCTTATGGGAACAAATTCATTTGGTATCACCACTCGAACAGCCTTTTGGAATGAAATAAGTTCGTGTCCCTAGGTACCACTGTATTTTAACCCCTTGACTGTCGCAACCCCAAATCCTGAGGTGTTGCAAAATTTAAAAAAAAAAATTATTTTTTCTTATGAAATGATAGAGAATCTTTTCTCGATTGTAATGACACCAAAGAATGAAATTTGATGGAAAACTGACGGGATTACGCTCTTGCGAAGTTAGCGACCTCGGTGATATTTACGAATTGGCACTTTCGCCCACTTTGAGCCCTATTTTCGGCTAATTCCATTGTTCCAGTCAACCAAACTCATAGCTATTTCTTTAGAACTCCATTTTTTCTATCGATTGAGTACAAGAAACTGCCCATTTACTGATTTCAACTACCCAAAAACGTGGTCAGAAATTTGCAATTTGGCCAATTTCACGAAAATTAAAAAATATGGCAATTTCAAAATAGGGTCCAGAATGAACAATGCACACGTTCCTGGCTCTTAAAATAACATTTTATTTGTTCATCAGTCATGTCTCCAGGCCCCTCTGATATTACTCTTGCTTTCTAATTTGAATTTTTCTTCTAACAAAAAATAGGAGATTTACTGTTATGCCGACTACTGCGATATTGTAATTGTATAAATAATGTCGACCCATTCATGACTGCATATTAGAATGGCTAGTTGGACACTTATTGGAAAATGACATCATTTGTTCACTTTTGAACATCGGCAAAAATTAAACATTTCCCCTTCTTTGAACTCCATTTCAAGGTTCTTTTTATAGCAAAACCAATCAAAATCACCTCTATTTCTATAATATGTTTTCCATTCTATCAAATGAGACCAAGAAAACGAGAATAGTGTACAACCATAAATACTATACAAAAATACTCCACAAAGTCGGCATTTTAGTTAAAAAACGGTCCAAGTTTTTTTTTCTCATTGTGCACTGCGTGCTGCAGGATTTTTTTTTATATGGTGCACACTGACCACACAGACCCATTCTC